TGAAGTACAGGGCATTTCCTTAGTGTTAATGAGACACACAGTAAAGATGCTAGGGAAATATCTGCAATGTGGCTGTTACAGCCATTAGAAGATGGAAATGGAAATCCATGCAGCTGGAGGCAGAAAGAAGAGAGTTTAATTTTTATATGCCTTATACATGTATGACAATCTGACAGCTCGAATGATCAGGGATTCTGAAGTCCGTTCAGAATCTGTGCAAACTGTAGCAAAAATGTTCTAATAAATAAATCATGGCTATTTGATTTTCTTTTAGTAGCTGAGTAGCATTGACAACACATAACTTGGTAAGTACTGCAAAACCTGTACAAGAAACTGAGGGAATACTGAGGGGGTTAGCCCAGCCTGAACTCTGCTCTGCTTCACTGCCCAGCAAAATTGCTAACCAGTTAATGCAAGCAACACAAGCATATCAATGTGAACAGTAGTCATAGCTATAATTGTAACTTATACAAACTAAAAAATGTATTTGTGTGTTCAGATGAATGGGATCATGTCTGACTATTAGGATCCTGACTCTACTAGATTTTACTGAATGGCAGAAAATGCCATTTCAAAAAAGTACCAAAGAACCAAAGATGTGATGAGCCTTTGAACATACAAAAAAGATGGACCAAAAGAAACGTCTGTAAGTTAATCATTCATTCTTACTGCACGCAATTCAGCCTCTCAGAGAATACTTGCATATGCCCTCAGATTCCTTTCCTGTTCAGGGCATAGCTCCAGAGAGCCCAAACATACAAGCGGCATAATCAGCCCTGACTTACAAAGCAAGGCTATATCCATCCCCCTTCTCTCAAGCATCTAGCTAAAATAAACCTCCCAACCTTGGGATAAAATTTTAAGCTCACATAAATCTCAACTACACAACAAAACAATGAGAAATCTCATTAGTCCAGTATTTGAAGTCCAGAGTCAGTGACAGAAAACAAAGTTCACCTTTTACATCCACAGACCAAAAGGTACGTTTCTCAGGGAAAGGTCATTTTGCCAGTAAGCCTGCTTCCTCTAGCCTGTAATCATCTAGATGTTCCTGCTCCTGACTCATTCAGCAGAGTAAACGTGGATGTATGGCAACGTAGAAAGAAAATTTAAGAATCAATTCATAGGTACAATAACTTTCAGTATCCCTCTTGCCATGAGTGTTAATACACATTTCTTCTGCAAATCCTAAGCCTGTATTTCAGAGCGATCTTTCAAAAAGGTCAAAGTTCTTTGTAATATCTTCTCTTAAAAATCCATGTGACAGAATTCATCAACATAGAGGAGTCACTACATGACCAGAGAGGAAAAAAGTTGAACAACAAAGAAGCAGAAATTAATCTGACAATATAAGAAAGAAGTAGAAGAAATCATACAATAGAAAAAAAATGGGCAAAAGGGATGGAACAGATTTAAGGGTAGCAGTTGAGAGGATCAAAGCTGCAAAAGGAATTTATCTACTGTTTTTTCACTAAATTCATGGAAAATGTATAACTAAATCCAAAATACTAAAACTGTCACCTAAATATCACCTGTACCACGCTAATCACTTTCAGTCCAGTCTTTTTCACTGATTGCTCTTTGCATTGTTTCATCTTTAGTGACCAAAAAAAGATTCAGATGGATGAAATATTTGAAGAATCATCTCCAGGGGCATGCAACCAGTACACAACGTAGTTACTATGATTTAAACAGGAGGCATAAAACTATATGCAACTTGTCTACATATTTTGAGAACCAGAACATAAAGGCAATACAAAAGTTTGGGCAACTGTCTGAGGGAGAGCCACTCAAAGCAACTTTTCCTTAGTCTGTCCGGCTAGTTTAACCATCCAAGAGGAAAGGCTGCAGACAACTAGAAACTCCTTCACAGAAGCTGGGAGGAGTCTGCTAGTGATGGGAAAGTGAAAGGAGGGAAATGCCACCCTCCAAATGGCTCACTTTGCACAGGTCTCAAAATATGATGGTAATACTATTTGTCACCAATAGCATGAATTTGTTCTGAATTAGAACTAGCCAGACACTTGCCTATGAATAGGAAAAGAAAATATCCTCCTTCTAAAAAAAAAAAAACCCAAACTGGTCTTTTGGCTATTAAGCACTTACAGAAGAGAGTCACAGTCCCCACTGGCTCATACTTTTGTGTTTCTACTCCTAGTTTTGCTAGACATGAAAGGGTTAAGTTCACATTTTGGGGCACTCAGATTAAAAAGAAGTAGCATGTTTAAAATTATCCATTCTAAATCTGATCTCTTTGAAAGAGATCAGCCAGTCTGAATCTAAAAATCTTCATCCTCAGCCAGGTGAAAATGCAGAAGTAGTTATGCTCAATTCAGCCAGACCAATCTTGTTTTGGAAGACACTGAGACAGTGGCTGAGGGATGATACAAAGGAATAACTCTGTTGTAGTGTCAGCAGAGAACTGCCAAAAATTACCTGTGCTTGAAGCACAAATTTAGCTGCAGGTAACTTATCAGCACGAAGCTCTGAAACAGTGATTTATGTTTTGGCAAAACTTGGTGTTTATCTGTGAAAGTGTTGACAAATCAGGGTATATTTAGGATCTACCATGCTGGGAATCAAGAAGAAAAAACCAATATCGTGGCTTATGATTAGTAAGCAAGTGTAACGGCAATGAAATGGTCTGATCTTTGCCCCACAGGAATAGACGTGAGCCTTGAACTGGACCTGGAAAGCAGCTAGCCTAGGAAGAGAAAATGCTCCTGTAGAATGAATCTTTATTTTTATGGGCGAGATCAGCAGTCCACTAATATCACTGTCAGTGGAAGCATCATAATGACACACTTTGTATTGCTGCTTGTGTCTGCCTCCAACAGATTTCTGTTATTTTATAACAGAGATTTTGATTATTACTGTGTTGGAAAAAAATCTGAAAATGCCCATTTTACCCTTCTTGACAGTTCTATGAACACATTTAGTTTGTGCATGAGGAGCTTAAAAATAATTTCTCTTAAATAAGCAAAGATAGTAGTCTATGAAATTAAGCTCTTGTTTTATGTAAATGTCAAATAATTATATTAAGAATGCGAAAATTGGAATGCAAATGCTTAGAACAAGATTGGCATTATTATTTTCATAGCCAGTCTGATAAGAGGCAATTTTACAATAGCGATAGATGCTGAGGCTCCCATGAAGTCTAATGACAAGGCTGATTTCTTACAAAATTCTTGAGTATAATTACATTTTAAAAATCTGAAGATGCAACAGGCAGACTTGATTCTGATGTGGCTTAGTAAAGTGCACTTCTGTTAACTTTGCTCTGACACACACGTATAAGGGACATAAAAAAATGAATTGGAGGAGTTTCTTGAAAAATTATTCTTTGTATTTTGTTCTTTTTTGACTTTTTGGAGGAAACAAAATGTAAAATTACTTCACTTTACATCTTACTATTCCGATGTCTGAAAACTTTGGATCACAAACTAGTAATTCTGCTTTCCATGCCATTGGTAAATCTCATGTTCTGACATTCCTCATGTCTTGAGAAAATTGGTATGGAAATTTTATATCTTTCTTCTTTAAAAACATCAAAATTATTAACTGGTTTGATATTAACCTGGGCAAAACATGCCCTGTGAAAACAGAGACTACTTTCTTTCCTTATGTAGTTTGATTCCCTGTGTTGGCTTGGCTTTCCTGCAAGCAGAAAGTATCCTTGCTAATTTATCAAAGTAGCATTTGCCTGCAAGATTCGACAGTAATTAACAGGGCCCTGTTGGCACTACTGCACTACTGGCAATGAAATACACAAATTATTAAGGTGGGTCATAGGAATACAGTTTACAGGGGTTGTAAGTTGAGAGCTTAGTTTATACTCAGACCTATCTTTCCCATTTATGTATGCCATTTCAGTTACCTGTCGCAGATTCCTAACCTGTTTGTTTTTGAAAACAAGTACCACAGAAAAATATCGGACAACAAAAATGGGCCAAATAAGCATATTTTATCCTCCCATTCATTATGTTCATAGCTACAGTATTATGAAACTGAGCATTAAAAGTTCTGTATCATAATACTATATATCCTTTAAAAAAAGATACTCTGGGGGGAAAAGCAAGCATTAACATCCTCCTATTTTCTACATGCAAGAATTAGCGGCACTGATCATCAGGCTCCGAAGACAGATATTCTTCCAACAACGTGCCAAGTGTGTATGCACGTACGGGAATTGTGCAGATACATTGATGGCAGGATATGTCAGCAGAAACATTTTCAGAGTTTGTGTTTCAGTTAAGACGATGACATGGGATGACAGACCTATGTTCTGAAACTGTTCTTTTGCTGTAATATGTTTATGTCAAATGTATAGTCTAAACCACAGTGCTAATCCTGGTCAGCAACGCTTACAATTCCAAATTAATCAAGAATTTTTCTTGATTAAAATCTAGGACCCATATTCCCAGACAGGGTGACACTCCTGGCTCCCAATGACTTACGTGTACAGATCAGTCACAATAGTTTTGTGGATCTGAACAATCCATGTTCTTGTCTATAGCTGTATATGAATAAATCTATTCATATGTATCAAATAGGACTATCATGCAACATTACCCATGTGCTTAATCATTTATGGTACTGAAACGTAATATCACTCAGCGTTAAGAACTTCTAGGTTGAGTCTACAATTTACTTCTACAATAGCAAAGCATTATTTTTGCTGTCTTAATATAACTAACTAAATATAAGGCTTTAGTTTTGGGGTTTTTTAAACATTTTTTAACATTTACGCTATATACCCTGTACAAATGTACTCATATATTTCTTCAAAATCTATATTACTGTATTTACTGAAAAAAAAATGCAGTTTTGAAAACTAAAAGAAATGGAACTTCAGCAGAAATTTTCTTTCAAAAATTCTGTAATTTAAAAATCCAATGTGTTTTACTTTTTACTGAATTATATACAGTTTCCATGGCACACACTGTTAAAATTAATTATAAAACCAACAGAACTAAAAGTCAGTATACACAAATACTTACTAGTTTCAGTAGCTACAATAGTTATGTTGTGCCACATATTTGTTTCTCTGTCCAGTGGTGTTGCCAAAGTTATTTTCCCATCTTCTGCGTTAATGTTGAACTGTCTCTCAAGGTCAGTATGCCGATCAATGGAAAACCTACAAAATAGACATCCCTGTAATCTACTAAATTAAGTTGGTGTAATCCATACAATCACAAGACAATTTAGGGAGCCCTCTGAGAGCTGCAGTTTTATAGCCAAATGGATTGAGAAGCTCAATAGCATAATAATTTATAAGACAAAATGACAAACTGAGACTAAAAAAAACTTAACAATTATTGCCCAAGGAGTAATTAGCTGTATACCCAGTGTGAAGGTCATAAAATGCCCTCAGGTTCACTGGGTAACATCTTTGAAAAACGGTGCTGATCAAGAGTTAATTACACAATCCATCACATTTATTAGACGCTTTCTATGGTATTTCACAGTAACAGATGATAATTTCAACAGTAATGTATTAAGCACACAAAAATGGTGGGCTTCATGGTTATTTTAAAAAGGGCTGTATAATATTATTTTATGAATAAATTTCAGATTAATGAAGCATGAACTATTCACCAAGCATATTATTTGGTTATGGTTCAAGCAGCTCCATGGGCAGAACGCAGTTAGTGATCACCATTTTCCTATAAAACACTTTGAACACTGAAGGACTGATTGTTTTATGGATTGACATCACTGATTTTTAACAAAACAAGTTTTGTCTGACAGGTAGTCAGAGTTTGCAAATGTGAATGTCCAGGTAAATTATGCAGCCTAAACATAAGGTTGACAACAAGAAAGAGCTGCAGTAGATTGCTCCAACGGTGATGGATGATGATTTAAAGCTCAGAACAGGATCTCCAGGAAAGCTTTTATGTTTGTCCATTTTCACAGAGTTATTTTATTAATGTACTATTCGCAAAAAGAAACTAAATCACAAAATTAAGCCTTCCAATTTTTGACAGGAAAGGTACGAAATGAGAGAGTTTAGTGATAAACTATTGATATGGTTCAACAAAAAATTACTTCAAGGGGTTTTACTGAATCCTAATTGTGGATTTATATAAAAGCCTTTTAAGCCTTTGTGCCTACGTATTACAGAACCTAACAGCATGCACTGACAATTTTTACATCTGTTCTGCATTATATCTAGGCATAATAGGGTGAGTTAGGATACAGTATCAGACTGGATTACATTATATAGTGGTCAGAAAAGTGACTCAGACTGTCAGTTTCTCATTACATTTCTACTTTTTGCAAATACATTGTTAAATTCACTGATAAAAGAACAAGAGCATATTTTGCTACAGCGACAATGGCAGAGTTATCTGAAAATCAGTTATTCCATTCTGTTTTATGCTTTATCATAAGCAATTTCCAAAAAAAGTTCTGATTCGGAAGTTCCTTTATATACTACAATAAACATATTCCGATGAACTCAAACTCATTCCAGCATAACACAATTGATTTTGATAGACATAGCATTAGGATCTGATTTCAAAGCTTAGGATTATGGCATTCATCTTTTTTTATTTGAGTGTCAGATATTTTAATATTTAGAATGAAAGATACATTGCAATTAGATTGCTTGTGCAATGCATTCAGTAAGATACAATTCACTTACAAAAAATTAGTTCTAAATTATGAAAATTTATCAAAATCTTGAAGTTTAAATGTTTAAAGACTGTATTACTAAAGATCAAGGCTAGCATGATCACACCGGTAAGGTACTTAACAACTTAACAGTGGACTTAAGAGTGAAAACCCTTTAACTAGGAAAAGGGATTTGTTAGACATTTAAGTTCTCTGTTTTTAAACTCTGAGAAGAACTAGTTTTACTCACTTAAAAACGAGTACTTTGGTTAAGAAGACTACTAGAAAACAAATGAAGTAAAGTTCCAAATATATGTGCCTAAAGCTAGGCACATACATCTATATTTGGACATTTAAGTAAACTGATTTTCTGGTGAGCTCCATGTACTCAGTTCTCAACGGTTTAATGGGAATTGTACGATCCTCAGCATTTCTGAAAATCAGGTCACTTGTGTGGAAGAATAAAGCTGTAGGTGCCTAACTTCAGGCAATAATTTTTGAAAATGTATCGTACCCTTATTTTGATGTCTCCCTAGTTCCAATTAAAGTATTAGAAGTAAAATTCTGGTACTAGTGAAGTTAGTAAAAAATATCTGAGAGACTTTCACAGGTTTAAGATTTCACTCAAGAAAATACAAGAAAGACAGCAATCAAGATAACTTTTTTTAAGATGTCATGACTTAAAACTATCTTTAATTCTTGATATTTATGTAATGATGCAGAAAGAACTCTTCTGATATCAAACAATTATGAAATTTTTATAGTCCACAAACAAAATATGAAATGCTTATATGCTGTTTAACGTTAGTTGACCTGGGCTTGACATAAATTCCATTGAGATAAGACACAGTTTTTCTCTAAGGATCAATCCTTTTTTAAACTTCCATTCACAGTCTTCCTGCAGTACATTTTTTGAAGTTATAAAACTGGGACCATAACATCTGTGAGTTTATTATACTGCATTTCATCTCATCCCAACAGTATTTATTCACAATGCAAAACCAGCATTCAAAATGAAACATTTTTAACATAAGTTACATGGCTTTACAAGACTACAAAGAGGTAAAACCCTCTCCTGATTTTAATTTGATAAATATTTGGTACAAAAATAAAAAAAAAAATCTGCACTGTCTTAAACCTGGGAAAACTAATAGTACATTTGCAGTTTCCTTTTCATGCTAATGGTATTGTAACTCTTTTTAATGGGAATGCATTGTCAGATCCATAAGCTATACATAAAACATACATTTCTCTAAAAATGAGAAAAGAATATCTTGGGAAATAATATCTTTTGAAATTGCCATAAACCCAGCACAGGTTATTGGGAATTTTTGGTTAGTTTATGGGTCTGCTGTGGCAATTATAGGAACAACCCCATCGTGGCTTAACAGAAGACTAAAAATGATTCTCAGTCCTGCTCATGCACTATTGCTATTACGACTTAATTTGATCTATTCTTTATTTGCACCAATGTAAATAAGAGCAGAAATCCTTTTTTGCTGCACCTGCTGAGATTTGAATCACAGTATTGATACCTCATCAGTGGTAAATCACCATTGTTTATTAATGCCAGGCAAATCGGACGTGCTACTTAGTGACAGATAAACAGCTGTACCATTAGGGAGGCAGAAAATACCGTATCTAGGTTTTTAAGGCCTGCTGTGAATTAAGAAAATGATCAACTGCTGCCAAAGATGAAATCTCTGTCGATATGAATGGGGAAAACCTGCCACAGTGAAGCTTATCTCTCCACAGAGAAAGACACTGAAGGGCAGTGATTTATAGGAGGGCAGATACAATATAGGAAGAAAGATTATTACTCATGTTTTTTTCTATGCACTTGGATCATGCTTTATCCAAGATAATTTACTGCAGATAAATAGACCATGGCTATAAAATAACAACAGAAACATGAAAGAAGTACTACTGGAATCAATAGATTTGTATGCTAATAGACAATGATCTTTCAAGCCTAATTATACTATAAGCCAGAATGTACCACCCTTACTAAATAAACTACAGTAAAGCTTTACAACTAGCTTAGCTGAATTCACCGGGTCCCCTTCTCAAGAGAGATGGACGCAGTCTAGATGCGGTAAGGTGTGAGCCACTGACGCATGCTTCTGAAATGACTAGGCTAGAATAAGACAAACTGCTGACCATGTTTACAATTATTAGTCAAATTTGTAAATCCTTTTCACCATCAGGCTTAAAAGTGAGCCAGGCCCTTAAGCAACACGCACAGCAGAATAGCAAACAAAGATAAAAGAGAAATTTTGCTGCTTATTTTAAAAATACTGGGTTATGAAGGATATGATATAGTTAGACTAGCCTAAAAACCCATATGAAGAGATAGTTCATATTCATTGGAGAAACACATAATGAAAGCGTAATTCAGCTGAATATCACATTATCACTTAGCCATTCAAAGATGCCTTTGCTTATCCACAATTAGGGCTCGACAACAACAATGAGAAAAGTCCCATACAACATGTGCATCCTTTAGTCCCATCCATCTAACGGTGTCTAAATTTCTTTGTCTGATACAGAGATTTCAGACTAATAACCACTGCCAAAACTCTGCATTTGACACAAGACATTCCTAAATAACCCTCTTCAGGTATTTCCATAAGGTGGGCACATGCAGAACCAGACTGGTAACCCATCTATACACCTGCTTGTAAATCTATGATAGATTTCCTACCTTTTAGATCAAGTCATGGAAAGATCAGAGAATATGTTTCATCTCTTGTAAGCAAGCATAGAAAACAAAGTACTGTTGTATTGGACAGAAATGAGGTTAAACTCTTTTAAAAAAAAAAAAGAAAACATGGGAGAAGTTTCTTTCCAGGCTGTTTTATATCTATAATAATTTTTCTAAAGTCTTTAATGTTTTGTCTCATGACTCAATTATCAGACTATTTCCATGTTCAGAGATATCCATATTTTATTTCATTTATGGTACTGAAATACTCTGCGTTTACTGAGTCTTTGTGTATAAGACTAATGTGCAGCAGATGTGGTATTGGTAGCACATAAGGTGATTCATATTTTTGTTTCAGTTGCCAGGGTTTTTATAACAAATGTACACAAAAACTCTGTCTAACCAAAATATTTTTGCTTTTATGCTTTTAAAAGTTTGAAAATATCTTGATCTATAAAATGATGAAAAAACGGAAATGAAGTAAATATTTTTCTCAGTTCAATTTTTCAGGCTTGGACAGAATAAAGAGGCTCAATTTAGGACATAGGTAGGCTTGTAGCTGGTCTAAATTATTAGGAGTTTGGGGCAGGATTAGAAAAGAATTCCAGGGAAACAGAACAAGACTGGAACAATAGCCAAGGTAAAACTGAAGCAGAGTTGAAGCCAGGCTGAGATGAGGAACAAAGGGGACACAATCAAGAGGCACAGGAGCACAGGACCAAGCCAAGAGCAAAGCAGAACAGGGCAGAGGAAGGAACTAAGGTTAAATTGAAAGAGAAATTACTATTGAGCTGGAATAAAGGGAAGAAAGCCAACTAGCTGCCACCATGGCTGGTTTCACACACCTTTCAGAAGATCCTGTCTTTGTAGCGGCAGTGCAAGCCCTTTTTCACAGACGCCAGTGGACAGCAGTAATAAAATTAGGGGTGGAGTCGCTGCTTGAAGTGTGATAGATCAAACTCTCTGCATTCTATATTACTCTTTTTCTGTTTATATAACATTTTCCTAACCTGGGATAGAAAACTATCCTCATTTATTTCCTATTTCTATGATCAGATTATCATCTTTGATCATCCTGAGAGCTTCTCTGGTAAGAAAAGAAATTCGGTGCCTATTAACACTGTCTGGGTTGTGTCTTGCAATAGAAAATATATTAATCAATTAATTTGTATAGAAATCTGTGATAGTTAATGCTACATGTAGCTAGTTTTGCTACATAAAGCTAGTTTTAACTAGACTTAGAAATGAGAGACTCCAACGTACTCTCCAACATCTTCATATAGAAGTTCTAATACATCCAAACGTTGGAAATTCTGAATTTCTAATTCTGAAAATACTAAAATATAATATGCAACATGTAGGCCCCCTAAATAAAGGTTTAAAGCTTGGTCCTTTGACAAACCTGGTGTAAATGACGATGATTAGAAAATGGTCTTAAGTGATAGATTATAACAATTAGCATCATCCCCACAATGCTGAAAATGACTGCTGGCATAGCTTAAATTCCCTAAGGCAGTAATGTACAGTGATGATTGTTATTAATTAGACTCTCTCCAAATATACCTTTACTATGAATTTGACGTTTTGCTGTTTGTTTTCATAATGTTTTTATCAGGCAGTACTACACATAGCAAAATGTGTTTTGGGAACACTCGCATCATACCATACTAACCATTACAAAGGTGGGGGAAAGATATGTGCTCATCAAAATGAGATAGAAAACACTGATATGATGAAACTGGTATAACAGATTTTGTTCAAGTTAGATCAAAAAGGGAAAATATTATAAATCGAAGATGCAAAAGTCATATGGGCATAATAATCTCTGACTTTCTATCTTTAAACCATGGAATGGGTTTACAGGAATACAAAAGGAATACAAAATATGTTTTGACAACCTTACAACTACATGGAACAAACTCAGTATTGTTAGTGCAGACACTAGCAGATTATTTAAAATAACTGCAGAGATACACACTGATGATTCAACCCCATCCGACCTCATACACCATATTTCTTATTTTCACTGCATTCTTACTGTTTCATAAGACTACTCATGTGGCAAGGAGCATTTTTGTGATTTTGAAAATGATCCGAACTGATAAATTTAACATCATAAAACAAATCCTATACAAGTATTTTCATAGAAATAAAAAGGCATGAGAACAGTGTCATACAATGTATGGGAAAATACACTTAGTATTCCGCCAGTAGTTTTTTCAAAGAGAACTTTAAAGCAGCACTACCTTATAGGACTGGAAGACACGTCAGGGTCATGGGCGGTCACCTGACCAATCACAGAGTTAATAGCAGCATTTTCATGCACTTCCAGTAGGTAAGTAGGTGATGAAAAGACTGGTGGCTCATCAGCATCCTCTACTACAATTTTTACTGTTGCTGTATCCTTAAATGGTCCTCCACTGATGAAGCGAGGATCAATATGAACGTTGGCTGCTTCTACCTTCAGAGTATAGGATTTTTTGGTCTCAAAGTCCAGTGGCTGTTAAGAATGACAAAGATAAATGTCTTTTACTAATGGCCACAGAGAAAGAACAAATGAATATAATGCTGATGGATGAAAGTTATGTGCATTTAAGCACGTTCAGTGAGATTTAATGCAATCACTTCCCACTCCCAGAAATCCAACCTGCAAATTTCCTAGGCATATATTGATACCTGTTTACTAACCAGCCTCAGAGAAAACAAAACTCTTTGTTTTCTTGCTTTTCACAAAAAATTTACCAAAATATTCTCTCTCATGAATTATACCATTACAATTACATATCAGATAAATACTTCAAATCTGTTGGTGATGACACGACTTGCATACTAATCATGCATTTAATCAGTGCTTTGTTAGTCGGAGATAAGAAAAAAAAAATTATACTAGCTCCACAAAGAAAAAATATTTTATTACTTCCAGAACAATGTGAGAAATGCAAAGAAGTAGCAATTATTATTTGTTGGACATGAGAGGCATTATGTGGAAAAATGTAGAGCTAATCATACAAGAAAGTACTTCAGTATTATTGCACTTCAGGTAACTCTGCATTTCTGTTTATAGGGGTAAATGAGGTAGATGTCTCTCAGGAATTTCTTAAAACTGTAGCAATTCCTATTTCTGTATCTTATTTTTTCTTCAGAGAGAGAAACATGAAACCGATTACTTTATTCTATCAATATACCTGGCATGTCACCATTGTTTTTACTATTTTACAGTTCCATATTAAAACATAAAAGATGAAAACACAGGGGATTTAAAGGAATGAAATACCAAATTAAAACCAAATCTGTGACACTTTTGAATGTTAGAATTTTTCATTATAGGAGATTTAAGTTTGTGTCTTGAAGCACATCAGTATATTCACCATATAATTCTCTTGTGTCTCACAATGATTCAAATTTGAAAGATGCAAATTGCCAAGCATTGGAAAGATATTAAGATTTGCATTACAATGTCCCAGGGAGAAAAAGAAAAGGACATAGAAACTCTGAATCTGCAATGCAAATACCGGCAAGAGCACAAATAGGGACCTTCAGGAAGTCTGTCAAAGCCTTCAATATGTATACTTTCAAATTTTGTTGATTTTTTTCAGGTATGAATAAAGCTCTAATGGGATTTGCTCTTTCTCAGAAATTCTAGTAAACATGAGAAAACCTTTCTTCTTTCGCAGCTCTTAAATTAGTAAGCTTTTGTAATTATGAATAGTGATTTATAAATCAGCATATTCACAATTTGCCAATCATAGCTCCTATATAATTTTTTCAATTGCTTTTCGTGTGCTTTACAGAAATGACAGCACCCTAATACATTTAGTCATGCTTAATCAGAATATCATATTGAAAATTTACTCTGCATTGTCTAAAACCCATGAACTGATGCTGGAGAAAATCTATTGGTGAAAAGTACCCTCCATACATCACTTACTGTAGTAGAACCAAAATGATTATTGCTGTCAAAATTAATATATGAAACAACATTATCTTAGAGACTCAGTTATGAAATAAAGCCAAGGGAACTGGGGCAAAAGGCTAATTGCCTTAGTTTACAAAAGAGGACACAGCATAGAATAAATAACAGTAAGAAAGATCAGGGATGCATATCATAATTTTCTCTTTAGGAAAACAGATCTAAATTTAGATAAATATACATCATTTTATTACACATCTACAGTGCTGACCTACTCACTGAGAAACAGAAAATACAAACTTTTGACAGGTACTCTGCCTGACTTCTTTAATTACAGGTACAAGTTGAATATTAATTACCTGTACTCACTGGATTCTTCTTTTTTCACTGGAATGTCATGTTTTGGGTTTGTTTTGTTTTGTTTTTAAAAAAAATCCCAAAGATTAATTTAGAGTGCTCTACACTACGTATTTAAAACCTTCTGTGCCAGTGTTACATGTTATATTCATATCCTTTTTCAGAACACAGCATGAGAATTGTCTCTCTTCTCCTTTCCCAGAAAATAATAAAAATTAAGTCTGCAGATAATGTTTCATTGACTAGATATGCTGTCTCTCCCCATATTTCTGTATAGAATTGGGTGGTCCTTCTGTTATGTACATGCAAATACCTCATCTTGCATACATCAACACTGTACAAGCACAGAAAAGGTAACCGAGTTGGAGCCTTCTTTAGGGCCTGAATTTGGCACTTCTCATGTGAAACAGTACTGATGTCCTTGATAAGGTTCACTGAAATCACTATTCACTGAGCAAAGAGAGTTCAACGTGAGGAAAGGTGGAAGATTAAGCCTCTCACACTTCAGGTAATTTAAATAATATGATTTGACCATGTGGAAACCCAGATAAGATTAACACATTCCCAGCACACAAAATACTTCCATGGATGTCTCCCCAGTTGACACCTAAATGCAAATTTTGAGGGACATGGCTAATACATCCCTTTTTTATCACTTCACTGGCTTGACACCTCATCCATAAATAAAAGAATCCTTGGAAATCCAGAACCTTCTCACAGAGTACAGTCTGGCTGGGTAGTTGTTTGTACAATAAACATTTTTTTTTAACAGAGATATCATTTACCTTTCTCACTCTAATAATGCCGTCCTGAGTTTGGGCATCTGTAGTAATTTCAAATATATCCATTCCATCTCCTTCAATAATATCATAGGATGATTTGGCATTTTCTCCAATATCCAGGTCATTTGCTTTCACCCTTCCTATTGGTTCACCAAGAGCAACATCTTCCATGACTGAGAAGTGATACAGACCTTACAAATAAGAGGAAAAGACTAAACATTACACCTGATTCCAGTATCTCTCATGTGCTCTTCATTTTTTTAGACTTCCCCAATGCAAACTCTTGAGATGTGCAACTGATACAAACTACATTTACACAAGTTCTTTACTGAAAGCAGCAAAACGTGTTCCTTATACAGGAATATTCACTTTACTGAATGTTCTTTTCATTACAGTAGTATCCTGCTATTTCCTTGCAAGGATGCTTAGTGTTGGCAAACATAAATATTAAGCTACTTTCAACACTGAAAGTATGCAACATTGAACTTACCGTTTTATTTACAGACATGTAGTTATATTTTTTAAAAAATTCAACTATGAAACTTTGGCTTTTACTCTGTAGAAAACTGGTCTAATACTTTAAAGATGCCTTACATAATTTCAGATCTTTACTGCTTTTTTGACCCTTTTAATTTGATTTTTTTTTGTTTTGGTTTGGTTTGGTTTTTGTTATTGGGTTTTTTTAACCCCTTCCACCTCCCTTTTGTGGTAAGAAACTAATAAGAAACATTCAAGGAAACTCCCAAAATTTATGTTTTAAAGGACACAATAACTTTTCATAGCGATCATTAGTGTATTTACTATTTGGTTGTAGGGTTAGACCAAAATCCACTAGAAGTGCTATTCAGGTTGTCAGCATTTTTATTTTTTGTAATACTTGCTTCAAACCTCCTTACCTAAGAAGTGTCAAAAATCTATTTAGAACTTGTAATATATTATTTTAAGCACGCATTTTATTAAGAGAAAAATCAAAATACCCATTTTATTATTCTATCTCCCAGTTCTTAACAGTACTCTGAAAAACAGAAGACGCATGCTTTACATCAAAAATTCTTTATGGAGGGCCTATTTTTTTACCTCTTGGTAATCTACACTTATTGAAGCCACGGTTAAGACATGATCTAATCAACTGCAGTGCTACTTAGTAATTAAAACAGTCAAAAGGAATTCAAGGTTAAGAGATGAGACCATTAAAATAGTTTTTGGCAAAGGATTCTGGACTTGTTCTTTTCTGTCCTCACAGTTGTTCTAAGACAACATGTGGCTTTTACTGTTATGTGCAGCTAGGAGTTTTCTAAATGTTTTTCTAAAATGTTATGGAGTTGTTGCTTTAACTGTTTGTAGGCTGATTGCAGTAGCAACAGTTGAAAGTAGGAAGGAAACTGTGAAGAATTCACAAATACATATATTAGTTATACATATAGTCTGTCCTAAAGGTAAATACCTTTTTTCTTTAATGTTTCTAGGCTAAATTATTAGAGATAATTTGGAGATCATCAAGATTCCTCAAGAATATTCATAATGGCTCACAAACAATGAGCAGCCAAAGCAATCAAGTGCCTCAGGAGACTAAATTGTATGTTCATAATTTAAACTGCTGTCCACACTTTGTGGTCTGAATCTTCAGACACAGTTGATTGCATTTTTAACACCATTTGATTGGTGTTTTTCTCTCAGATTTAGTAAGATAGTTTACAAAATATTGTAAAAAAAATGTATTATGATGCAGCTGACTCTTTTACACAAATTGCTCTCAAGAATTACGAATTGTTCTGTCAAGATGTCATAGTGCAGAGCTGACCAAAAATCCACATTACGCATCTTTGAAAACCTTTGGTTTTCACAGCAGTGCACAGTTTTTCTCAGTACAGTCCTATGGTAAACTGCCAGGTTAAAAGCTTCTGTGACTTATAAAATACCTCTAAAATTATTTCAAAGAGATAATAGAAGTAGTAAAAGTTCATCTTTTTCATTTCTAAAACTCAGAAGGCTAACGCTCTTTGAAATCAAACCATAAATATACATTTCTATCCTGCTTGGAAACAATAAACTGATAAAACACACTGCTTTCTGAGTTCATTACAATTTATTGTGAAAGCAGCATGTATTACATCTTATGAATTTCTATTTCATTCCAGTTAGGCTCTATTGTAAGTTTGATCCTTTCTTATTTTCCTTTCCAGGCAAATTGCAAACCGTGCTTCAATGGTGTAAAAAAACGTTAAAGACTTGATCAGCTCTTGTATAAGGCCAGTCATGACTAATCTGTAATGCTCGGCAGCATGCTATGAATACTTAGTTTTAAAAGGCAGAATTTGTAATAATATCCAGTTACAATATTTACTATGGCTTATCCTCATTAAATGCAATGTATATACAATACAAAGTTATAGCATATGCAGTTTTTTTCTAATGAAGTTGCATAATGGTCAGTGTTATAACAGGATGGTTATTCCTAGATGGTAGCTTGAATTCTGCACTGGAATGCACTAGCTATAACAGCTTCAAAGACAGCAACTCACTCTTTGTTGAAGGAAAACTAATCTACATTTTCCGTGTAGAAAATATATTTCAGGGATCTGTGATGCAGTCTTCGTCATGCTACCCAGTCAGTGTGTCACTGTATCCAAACTACAGGAGAACAGGTATGAGTAAACTGCACAGGGAAAGTACAGTTTCATCTCCATATGCATTTGACCTCCAGCAAATGTACCAATTAGCACCAGTCGTGTTCCTGATTTTCTGATCAGCTTTTTTCACACTGGCAGGCAAAGGCTTTTTGAGACAGAAAGTGCTGATACAAATATAAAAGCCAGGCAAGCTGGCAAAAGTAGATTTGTAGTCACAGAGTTAGAGCTACAGTACATCGCAGGTATAAAAGAAATGTCCCTCTGCGTTGTGGTGATACACTTCAGCCAGGAGTCTCATCTATAGATGTTCACATTATTAGGGAAATTGTCATCATATGTTGGAAAACACTGTTACACAAGTGCAAGCAATGCAATGTAATATAAAGTAAAAAATTTATGCATTTCTTATTTTATAATGAGAGAAAATCTTTTATTGTGCACAGAGTGCTTATCTGTTAAAAATCACTAAGATGAGGTAATAAAATATGTATTTTGCAAATATGCTTTTACCTCTGCTTATTTATTTTATATTTTTTATCTCTATCTGTATGTGAATTTTCTAGACTATAGGAGAGTATTTATCACATGCTGAGTACTAGGACAAACCCATTTCACTCTTTGTGTCTTCAGAACAGGGCAAAAGTGGACTTCAGGTCATATATAAGTGGAAAAGAATTAATTTTACATTGGGTGCATAAGTACTGTGTTAGAAAAACGTGCTTCTAATAAAGTAAAAATGATACAAAGTCTAGATGTGAACATTCTCCAACCCCAAAACAGACATTAATACCTTACAACTTTAGTTTTTCAGAACAAGCTGGATAAAAAGATAAGTTTCTAATAGTGCATTAGATTGCACCTGTTCAAAATAAAATCGATCCAGTCATTATGCTCTTCCCTCTTCTTTTTTCGTCTTCATCTTTGAAACAGACTACAAAGCTTGTAGAGAATCTCAGCAGGATGCCAAATCATTTTAACCTAGCCCAGCAAGATATCCATTGGAACCACAGTAGTAAATATGGATTTTGAATTAAAGATCAACAATTATCTAGACTCAGACTTATTTTCTTTTTCTTCGCTATTACCTAATTAGTCAAACCTTTATTTCTTTTACCAGTCATATATGTCTTTTACTGGTGGTGTCACTTGTCTGTATGAGATGGAAGCACATATAGCAGCAACTAAATCTAGCACTTAGAAACAACCGCACTGAAAGCAAATAAATGTATGAAAAAAGTCTCCAAGCCCTTTTGTGTGGATGTAAGAGGGGTAACAAGGAAGACAGAGCTGTGTACACTGTTGTGGATGTAATTCCCTCTTTCCTAAGCTCTTAATCAGGCAGAGGATTATTAATCTTTCTCTAATAGCAGCTACATATTTTTAAACTACATTACAAACCCAGGCAATATGATGATAAAAAAAAAGAGCTTGATAATAAAAAACAGGCACTATATTACTTTCACATATAGGAGAACACATACACATAATGGCACTTACTCTGTGCAAACTTAGGAGGATTGTCATTAACATCAGTGAGTGTAATTGTCACTGTTGTAGTTCCAGAGAGTCCACCCATATGTCCTCCCATGTCCTTTGCTTGGATGACCACAAAGTATTCTTCTTTGGCTTCTCTGTCCATGTTGGGAAGAGCTGTTTTAATTACAGCTACGATAATAGGGGGGAAAAAAAGTCAGGTACAGATCCAAATTCAGTTTTGCAGCTATTTTTATGGATATATGTAAATATTGGTATAAAAATTGAACTGCTAAAGGTCCAATTAAGTTGCCTCTTAGTACCAAGGATAAAGAAGAATTTGAGATTTTCAAAAAAGTATATTAGAGGTCACCTACCTTGATTTAATGAAAAGTGCAATGAAATTGTGGTCCAAAACTCAAGAATTAATCACACCTGTGATACATATTAATTTTTACATTTTTTCCCCACATAAACTTTTTGGTTTCTATCCTACCTCCCACAGAAATCCATCGTTTCCCCACAGAATTCACAAACAGAAGACAACCATGTAGTAAACTTAATCTTAAACACTGTTAAGCGTTTCTGTTCAGATTAGTTGTTTCAAGTATTTTAAAACCAAAACCATTATTTAATCTGCTCTTGTATATAATCCAGGCTACACTTGTTCCCTTAATTCCTAAATCAAGTGCCTAAACTTCTACTGGAGAATGACAGCATGTCTTTCAGTATGTCTTTCAGCACAGTCACCAGCACTGCAAACTCCTAAAGACTCCATTGTCCCTGCTCTAGGAGGGTCACGTCTTGGACAATGATCGCAGCAAGCTGCTATCACCTACTTTATTAGGTTAGAAGTTTTTAAAGACAGAGACGTAAAATGATCTGTAGTATATCAAAATATAAAATGCCAGTGGGTTAGCAGGAAGATATCTGCAAGGGACAGTCCAATTAAAGATGGGGCCAGATCCACTGCAAACTCCTATAGATTTCGTGGACATCTAACAGAAGAAATAATAAAACCTTTTTTTCTTTCCAAAACTTCTCCACCTGCAACATGCTATTATATTCACAACATTCAGTATGGAAAGTGCAATACTAAATGTTTAATGGTAAATTTAAATGATGTTCATGACAATCTAGTAATGTCCATAATAAAAAGATAATAATCAGTTAAAGAAGTCCCACTAAACCTAGGGAAAACAACTCTAAATGTTAAATTGAAATACGGCATTTTTTCTTCTTTTAATCCTGTTTTTTAGTTCTATTTTTAAAAAAATCATTTGTCTGTGAAAAGAGAGCACAAAGTTCAAGTTACTGAATTATCTTAGTGGCTAAGTGAAGTGTAAGAGTGCCAAGGGGAACTGAATCCACCATTGTAGTGGTTCCTTTAAACCATGGTGCTTGAGTGTTCTTATGAGGCATAAAGAAGAGTGTCTCTTTTCATGGGGCCTGTACTTACAGAGCTGAAGGACACAGTTTATGGGCAAACATTGTCAGCAACTCACCAAGTCATTGAAAAAAGAAGGTAAGAATTCTATACTGTACTGTATATTTGTTGAGATTTGCATGTTGAATAGAGTGGCCAAGTTCACACCCTGGATCATACATACCCGTTACTGGGACTGATCATACATTTCATTAGCTCTTGCACTGTTTTGTTTTGGTTTTTTACCGGTTCTTTGTTGAGTATTGTCAGGAGTTTTTAGATGTCAATCAATACTTATTGCGAATCTGTTAGTTTTGATTTCTCTACTGGGACTAGCGTAACTGTGGAGACTTCAAATAGCTCTTTTTCTTTCACATGGGATAGTTTCTATTAAATAAGCTTCTCAGAAATGACACTCTGGCTGAAATGCCGAGATTATCTATTCATGTATTTGTGGTGAATAAAGAAATGTTCCTGGTCTTTATCATTAATAGAGATGCATTTTAGTAAATTTTAGAATCCATTTGTCTTTAATACTGTAATACTAAGAATCTGATCAGACCTTCTTTTCTTGGCTGAGTACAGGACCAAGCTAAGAGCAAGGGAGTGTAAGGCATTTAGTATAAAGCAATATGCTTGCTACATAAACCACCAAACATAACGTAATAGCAGTCTCGTAACCTATGCTTTTGTAAATGATTTCCATAAAATATTTTGGGTTGTTCTCTTACTTTATACTGTTTCTTTTACTTGTTCTCTTATTTTATAAATACAATTCCGGATTAAAATGAAACCTCTATCTTATGTCTGCAACTGCCAAGCCAGAGTAATCTCTTGTTCCCAAGGAACTTGATAATTCATCAGTCATTTTTCATTCCAACATGGGGTAAGTGGGGTTAGGAGCAGCAAGGGCAGTGCAGTGCAGTTGGGAGCAGAGGGTGGAAACAAGGCAGGAGCAGTGACCTCACCAACAAGGAGCCAGACTGCAGAGTGGCAAGTCAGGGTCCTGCTCAGATCCAGAGACAGTGGCCAGGACGAACCACAGGCTGATGATCACTCTGCGAGGCCACAGCAACAAGGCAGGTCTGAGGCCAGGCCAGGAAACCCAGCCGGAGGTCTGGATCTGGGTCAGAACCGAGAAAATAGGAGACCGGGCGCAGATGCAGCACAGCCGGGGGCCAGCAGTAGAGCCTCAGCCTAAGAGCAGCTCCCAAGGAAAAGGAGGGGTGGCCCTTGCGTGAAGCTTTCTTCACAACAGCTCGTATCAGCAAAGGAGCTGACCTTGGCTGCAGCCAGCTGCACTTCTAAACTTAACCAGCTACGCTCCTTGAAGGAGGTTGTGCTCAGGACCCTGACAAATACAATGCAGTCCAGTGCTTGTAAAACCAATGAAGCAGCCTTGAAGTACAACATTAATGTAATTTAACTATTCTATACCATCTATAGGAGGGGACATAAGTTATTCCACAAAACACTGAAGAATGTGCTTCTGTTAATTTTTTTTAATGAAAACAGGAGAACAGTAAACCCCAGAAGATAATAATAAATATTTATCAGATGTGATAGGTGCAAAATACATTCAGTAAAAGAGTAGGACCATTTCCTCCATAGCAGCCTGGGTAAGGAGAGTAAATGATATTTATTTCTAAAAGCATTTGACAGTTGTGACTGGTTTGGACTGATTGGTTTACTGTTTAGGAATAATAATGATGCATTCTGTGAATAATTCTATGGTTATAAATGAGATGACTCATGAAAAGGATGCTAATGCAAACTTAGGGTATCAGAATTTGGTCCACATTAATTTTTTTCACTAATAGAGCTGATCTAAAGATCAGTGAAACCTTATTTCAATGGGTTTTGTATTAAGCCTACTATAACTTTTTCTCCATTTTTATTTTTTAGGCAGAGTTTCCCTTGGTTTTTTGTTTTGTTTTGTTTTGTTTTTTTTAAACCTAATTTATATAGTTAAGTCTAGCCCACAGATGACTTGTGTAAGATATCACATTTTGTATTCTGCAGTTTCCTCTGAGACAAGTTAATTATTTCAATAAAATGATGATTTTTCCTAGACATGTATTTTAATTTGTCTCTTAATGTATGGAACAGTCTAGCCCTTGTCTATGGTTTGAAAGATACCAGGAATATTAAATACCTTAAAAAGTGTCTAAATCAGATTTACAGTTTCTGACTTCTAAGACATAAAAATTAGGGGGTTTTTTTCTCTATAAAGTTACTAACACAACCTGTTATTTCAATATTTTTCTACATATTTCTGTCCACTGTCTCAGCCCATAAACCATTTGCCAGAAGCTAAGAGTCAAAGATAAGTAAAGTTTCAATTTCAAACACAATAAAAAGCTAAAAAGAAGTTTATTGTTTCAATTACTGTAAGAGGAACTGAAGGTTTTTAAACATCAGATATATCCAAATTACACAGGCTGATTGTTACCACCAGTATTTCTATACGCAGAATCTATAGAATGGAGGTCAGCAAAAGAGAAGTGTCAGTATCTCTTACGAGGAAAATTAATAAAGACAAAAAGGCTCCATCCTCACCTAAGTAATGTGATCGAGACAAAGACAGACTAAGGGAGTTATCCATAGAGAATTTCAAGGATATTTATTTGTTCTTTTGCTTTACTCACCAGTTCTCAGGCTGGGCTCACAGGAAGTACTGAAACTTTCGATCTATTTTTAGAAGACAATTTGGGCTCACCAAATACTAGTACGCATGCAGCACACAGAACATTAACTCATTGAGCATTCAACCTGCTGTACTTCAATTCAACTCAGAAACAAATCGAGAACAAAAACATAATCACTTTCAGCATGCTATGATGGATGAAAATGATATGTACCAAACAGGAGAGCAGTTTAAAAGCGAGGGATGAGAATTACCGTAAACTAATGTAAGGCAGGTAGACGCTTGTTGGAAGATTGTATTCAGAACAGTTATCAATGGCTTACTGTCAAAGTGGATGGATGGATGAAGTGGTTTGCAGGGTTTGTTCTGCTTCTAGTATCATTCAGTGTTTCCTGAATGATGGAAGACAGGAAGAACTTATCAAGCCTTTCAGATGACACAAAGTTGGGAGCCATTGCAAGTACTGGAAGAACAGGATTAGAGTTAAAAACAATTTTGACAAATTGGATAGTCTAAAAAAGCAGGATGCAACTCAATTTGGCAACTAAGAAGTATTTTGTGTGGGTGAAACAATTAACTTCACAATTACAATAGAGCAGATGACTCACAAGACAGAAAAGAATGTGGAGTCAAAATGAGCTGAATATGAGTCAACAGCATTTTGCTACAAAAATGCTCAAACATTTCGTGGTATATTAGCTACTATGTTATATGGAAGAACCGTGGAATAATCCTTCCAGTTCACTCATAGTGGTAAGGCTGCAGCTGGAACAGTGTGTCCAGTTTTGAAAAAAATTGGTTTATATAGTTAGGGAAGTATGACGAAAGACTTTACAGCCAAATATATAAAAATTACTAGGAGCTACTCTCCTTTTCCACTGGGGATAAGAGAAGAAATAAAGGGCTTAAAATATAAACCACAAAATGGGTTTAAATTGCAGCAAGAGAAATTTCAGTTAAAAAATTAGGGGAACACTCTCTAAAAGAGAAGCTAAGTACAGACAGAAGGCTGCCTATAGAATTTGTAGTATTTTCATTACTGAAAGTTTTTAAGAACATATCAGACAAACGTCTGTCGAGAATGAGAAGGGATAAACCTGATCCTTTTTTGGGGCAAGG